ATCCGTTCAGCGCACCAAGTGAAAATTTTCTGAACTTGGAATCATAATCCCTTCTTGTGCCCCCTCTCCATGATGCCGACACGAGCTCTCTAGTTTTCTGAGAAAACCCCTTTGCTTCGAAACGTTTGTTGACAATCGCCATGCAGTCAATCTGAGACTTCCTGGATCTCGATGAAACATTTTTGGCTTGCCCTGATGTAGGAGAGTTTGTGATACTGGCAACATCAATGGCGACTGTATCAACATTCCCAACATTTTTGGAAACCAAATCTGTCTTGGCCAGAATGGCGCAATCAGAATCACTTCGCACTGAAACAGTTCCATGTGATTCAGAAACAAGGGTATCAGACTGATTGGCGGGAAGGCATAAGCAAACATATTGTCCCATGGAATCGACAGTGCATCCACTGCAAAAGCCTGTGGATGATTTTGCCAAGAGCAGAACACTGGGGTCTGTTTGTTGTGAGCTGTTGCAAAAAGATCCATTACCGGTTGACCCCAAAGGGAGAAGATTTTGTTCACCACCAGTCGATTGAGAACCCATTCCGATGACAGAATGTTGCTGCGACTCAATCTGTCTGCTAACACATTGTCCACTCCCTTTATGTGTGCTACTTGAATTGCAATATTGTTCTGGAGAAGCATCTGCCAAAGATTCCATGTCTCCTGGCACAACAATACTGACCGAGTCCCGCCTTGTTTCTTCAGGTATTGCACTACGGTGGAATTGTCGGTTCTTATTAAAACCACCTTCCCTCTCAGCTCTTGTAAAAAATGCTGAATTGCCAGATGGACAGCCTTCAACTCTAGCCAATTTATGTGATGATGTCTCCAATATACTGGCCATGCCCCCTGCACTACTTGATCCTCCAAATGAGCACCCCAACCATGGAGTGATGCATCTGTTGTTAGGGTCAGAGTAGGCACCAGTGGGACCAGAGACCGGCCTTTTGCTAAATTTTTCATTTTCGTCCACCACAACAAATGCGTCTATAGACTCTCGGCTGTTGGGATATGGACACTCATACTCTGCATGCTTGGATTCCAGGTCTGCAATAAATGACACTGGATCGGTTTCATGAAAAGGCGAGCATTGGGTATCAGTTCTAGACAAGATGCTATCATTCCCAACAAACGAAGATAATCCCTTGCCGTATTCTGTCCTTTTAAAATTTGATAAGCCGTACGACTTAGATTCTTCCTTCTCTCCAAGGAAGGCAAAACCATTCCTTGTCTGAATTCCCAAAGAGCTCCCAGGTATTCTATTTCTTGAGATGGGATCAGGTGAGACTTCTTTAGATTTACTATGAAACCGAGGTGAGTGAAAGTTGTCAGGACCATTTCCCGATCCAAAATCAGCCTCGATTTCGTCCCACTTACTGTTAAAATGTCGTCTAAATAAATAGCCATGTGGACATTTTGTCGCCTCAGATAACCTGCCACTACCGCTAAAAGCTTTGTGAACACTCTCGGAGCCGAGGTAGGGCCGAAGCAAAGTGCCTTGAATTGATAAACCACCTTCTCCACACAAAAACGGAGATACTTCCGATGCTCTGGCCAAATGGGAATGTGAAGGTAAGCATCCTTTAGGTCTATCGAAATGGCCCAATCTCCCTTGCTTACCATACCCAAAACCTTTATCAAGTGGTCCATCTTGAAATGAGTCTTGCGGATATACCTGTTGAGTGGCTTCAGGTTGATAACCGGACGCAGTTCCCCGTTCTTTTTGGGAACAAGGAATAACGTACTGTAAAAACCTGAATGGATCTCTGTTTCTGGAACCCTTTCTATAGCATTTTTTTCCAAAAGGGAATTTACCTCTGCCTTTATAAGGCCAAGCTCTTTTTGGGAAATCAGAGTGGGCTTTACCCCCAAAAATGGAGGTTTCTTTACAAATTCCAGCTTGTAGCCTTCCTTTATTATCGACAAAGCCCATTTGTCTGATGTGATCTGCTTCCACGGTTCCAGAAACAGTGACAAACGACCTCCCACAGGTACCTCCAGAAGATCTGCCAATAAATTCTTGCCCCCCGAACTTACCGAGTCATTCATTAGACTTCTTGTTGGGTCGGTAAGCCTTTCCTGACTTAAAGTTAGGCTTTCTGTCATAGCCCCTGGTGTATGGCTTCTTGTCTTGGTACCTCTCTGTGAACCGTTTGGCACGAAAACTATAATTAGAACTGGTGTTATAATTAGCAGGTTCATAAGGTTTATATGACAAACGACCCCTCTTGATAGGTTCAGGTTGTTGTACTACACTGCTCTTGCGTTTGCGCGCTTGAAAATCGGGTAGCAAGTGTTGTGTTTGCGATGGCCATAAAGATGCATAGTTGATTAAAACTTAAATTTATTATACATGAAATTCTTACAACAATGGCGGTCAGCCCGCCGACCTACTACAAAGTGAATGACGTCATGTGACCTCGTGCAAAGCAAGCAACCAGAAGCGTACATACTGTTTCGGCGTCACATACGTTCGAACCTAGACACAACATATTTTCCACCCTTTTAGTTAAGCACATATATGATTAAACACTATCAATAAACACAAAGAAACCTCAGAGAAACTAAACAATTAACATCACTGTCTGTGAACGATTTAAAATCCTATGAAATAGCATGCATTACTGTAAACACTCAATTAAACATAATCGTTCAAATAGGCAGGTCTATGCCGAATTCTTTGTGGATGATTACGAACTGGAACTACTCGATTACGATTTCGCCGATTGTTCTGAATTGGAATGTCAGGAGGAACATTGTCATTTGGTAGCACATTATCGAAATTATGGTAAAATGGATATTGATCATTTTCTTCGTGATCGTGGTTTTGGTAAGCGCGTATACATCTTCTTGCGTTCCAACAGCTACCATCACTTAAACGAAACGATGACTTTCCTAGGCGTTGAGTAATAGATTTCGGATTAGACAATGTCTTTTTGTTCTTACGTAATCACCAACTTTCGGATTCGTTTCTCTGGCATTTCTCCTCTTGTCAACATAAGATTTCATCTTATCTTGTCTTGAAGCGATATAAAGTGATCTACTTTCGATGTCTGGAGGAACCGGATCTGGAGGTTTTAGATTTTCTAAAGGTAGTTTTATTTGTCTTCAGATCATTAATTCTGAAGGTGATTTCTTGGTTAAGGAATGCGGTGTAGCTCTGTAAGTTCTAAGAATAAGACGTATAGCTTCTGCAAAAGGTTTACCATCTTGTAAGTGAGCTTTTAAACCTTCTTTGATGACTCTATTAAAGCGTTCTACACCACCATTACACATCGGATTATATCTAGTTGTGATCTCAGATAAGGTTCAAACTCGTACGATATAAACTGTGGTCCATTATCAGTAATAATTACTTCTGGTATTCCCCATCTTGAAAATAAATTCTCCAAAGAGTCAATGATCACCTTTGAAGTTATTTTAGAACATTTGATTATTTCAGGCCATTTCGAATGTAAATCATGTATCACAAATAAAAATCTAGAGTCTTGAGGAGCGACTTGAACTTCTCCAAATATATCAATCTGAATTTCTTTCCAAGGAGATGTAGGCCATGGTATAGGTTGAATAGGAGGTTGAACGGGTCTAAGTGACTTTTCACTTAAAGCACAAGATTGACAGTTCTTTACAAAATCTTCAATTTGATGATCCATGCCTGTCCACCATACGGTTTCACGACAACGTTGTTTCATCTTAACTATTCCTGGATGTCCTTCGTGAGCCATAGTTAAAACTCTTTCTTGTAGACTATCAGGAATCACAGCATAACAACCTCGAGAGACACAAAAATTATCCCAAATTGACAGTTCATCCCGTAGACGATAAAACAATTGTAACTCATTTGCAACAATTTTAGGCCACCCATTTATAAGATAATTTCGAACTTGCAAAAGATTATGGTCAGTTTCTGAAGCACGTTTAAGTTCTTCTCGAGTAACTAATGAAAAATCAATTTCTAAGACGGTAGCGGAGTCTATTTCCTGAATCTGCTGACTATTCGGATTATCGATAACTAATCTACTTAACATATCAGCTACTAAGTTTTTCGAACCCGTCACATATTCGATTTTGAAGTCATATTGATGTAAGCGATC